TAATTTAATGCAAATCCCTCTAAACATAATACTTTTCTTCGTATATGTACATATGTTATTACAAGGCAATTTGAAAAAACAATTTCATTATTTCAACGCAGAAATATGACTTGCTTAACAAAAAGTATATATTCGAATGTGTTCGTGATAAATAATACATCGAACCCGTTCGGACAGACGAGAAAGAATTTGATTAAACTTTCCGTGTCGGGTTACTCCATGATTATTTCCCTTTGATACAACGTTACCGCTTATCGTTTTTGCAATAATCATTTACATAATTCGACGAATAAATTCGAATACATATAACACGGACAAAGTTCGAAAGTTTTTACGTAATACCGTAGAAAAACTTACATTATCGCGCGTCCAATTTGATACAAGGACGTCAACGCGACGAAGAAGTTCACGCTGAAGAGGCTCCAATTTTTCGGAGTGATCGCTAACGAGTATCTGGTCCAGATCAAGCCGGTGACGAACAGGGAACCTGACTGTTTAACGGACAGTTGATTTGCTGGCCTCTTAAGATCACTGAGGCCAGCTATTACAAGGCCCTGTAATTTGCAAACTTTATGTAAGGATACTAAACGGCGCGTTTGAAAAGTATGAACAAAAGAGAGCACGAACGTAACGAGTGCTTTGACGTAAGAGAGACGGATAATGAAAGGGTCAACAATGTGGGCCGCATTCTGACGATTTGCTTTGAAAGGCTGACCTATTTTCTGCTAAATCGACCGCGATTTGTTACAGGCATGCTTGCAAACGATTTTCAGTTATTTTCAGATATTCTTTTTTTTTTTTTTCAAATTACGCCCAGAAATTCTTATTTGCTCACAGACCTCGTCAGACCGGAAGTACGGATGCGACACTATTGACTTTCTGCATCGTTACGAAATATAAAACCATTACGGAATTATCAAAGGTGATCGCAGTAATAGCATTTGTCGTATCTTTCGTAAGAGTCACTGTGACGAGCTTTAATAACGCATTTGGATCAAGTCCATGCGGATGCAACTTCCTAGCGGTCGAGAAAATATTTCTGTAACGTGTTTGCTGCAGCCAGCTATGCAAAGTTCGCGTTTTGACTAGCCAGTTATAAAATTTACTCGTTTATATGCTGTCTAAGTATTACACACACGCGACAGATTAGAATTTTAATACGCAATCGTTCGTATCCGTAATAATGATATTGCACGGCGTTGTTATGAAACGAATATGAAATGACAACGTGACGTTAAAACTGCAAATGTATTACTGACCCATTTACAAATCGGTGCCCAAAAGAATATAGTCTGCGGACCTGAAAGGGAAAAAATAGGTCGATGCTACCATTACGTACGTTTTTTAATAATTTGATTATTGTACGCGATACCAATTATTCAAATTATTACGATGATCAATTATTTTTTAATTTATTCGAATTTTACGATTCTTATTCGAGCGTGTTCAAAAAGATTTGAATTTTAGAAAACGTTGTTTAATCAATGACATCTGTTTAGTTAGGGAATATCAATTCGTTATCGTGAATACCTTGAATCCATTGACATTACAAGGTTTGCGTGATTCAAAAACCACGTAAAAATACACATTTTAAAATGTAGGACAACTTCGTCGCGAGGATGACATTGATCTACATGTGTACACGCATTAACGGCGGTCAAGTCCATCCGCATTCGTAGCATTACACTACAGCAGATGAGAAAAAAGTAGATGCCTGTAGGACGTAAGACGTTACGAGGATGCTTTTTTGCCCGTCCGAACGCATGTTTTCCAGTAGTATAAACGCATATGTCCCTGGCACGTGTCACTATGTATTTGAAAAATCTTGAATGACTTACTAACCAGCAGGGTGATTCCACAGTGGTTGAACCTTCTTAGGCACGATCTTGCCAATGGCGTTCATCGTGTTTCTATAAACGACCGACATTGTTTTTCACACGTTCACACGTTGAGGATGCGAGAAGGAAAATTATATTTTATGTCAAGTGTTCAAAGGTCTGTTAACAGAACGAGTGAACGTGTAAATGACAAGCGGTACGACGATCCGCGCACTGAGACTGAATAACACGAAGTGCAACGATTGGTAGTCGTGCTTGCCTCACGGGTGCTCAGTTCTCTCTTTCCCCCCCCAGATATTTCCTGGGTCGAAACCGCTCGTGTATACGATATCTGTTGCTTTGAATCTATACCAACACGCACACAAAGTTACTCTACATTATTTCGGATCTCGTTAAACGAGGGACATTTTTCTCTATCGATTGATAATGACAAATAATAGCGATAATTAAAATTCAATTACTTATGATGTATGTATAAATCCCTGACAATTATCAATCGTAATTCAATAAAGAAACATGATTCGCGCTTAAATTCGTTCAATTACATAATTATAGAAAAGAAAGTAATGCTATGAGATACGTTTATACAAAATAGTAGTACGGTGTTACTTTATCAGTAAATTAAGTTTATCACGCGACTGTGTTTGCGAAATATTTTCACGGAAGTGATACAAAAGATCTGTATATTTAGAGATAAGATCGCAATCAGCGAATCGTGGTATCTAATACTTTTAATTTCATTCAATTACATGTATTATCTACGACGGTATTTTTTGATTAAATATTACCGTTAAATTTTCAACGTGATCTTTATACGCATGCCTCGATTACAGAGTGTATTTTTGACGCCAACTATTGTACCAACATAAGTTTCGACAAAAGGAAACTTCCAGCTTACGATAACGAAATCGATCGCTCAAGTTTACCAATGATGTATTAGCGATATACACACGGCACTATAGCGATCGACATTGGCCTAGAGAACAAAATTGGATAGTTTGTTCAGTGCCAACTCGTACGTCGCACGCTCATTCTATTCTATTAATGTATTAACCACGTGTAGCTACTGTACAGAACATTACGGAACACACGATCTTAGCGCACGCAATTCCGGTACAGTCCATTGATCTCGTGGGAATGAAGCGTGAATGTGTATTTACACAATTTTATTTACATTAAAATGAATACACTTTCTTTTTTTAACACGAAATAATATACACGATGTCGCTAATAATACAGTAAATGCTATCGAAAATTGAGCTCGACGAAAGAGAGAATGCAAATGTTGCTTTAATACTGGGTTTACGGACATTTCTTATATACCTATCTCTACGGAAAAGCGTCAAAATTGACGCGTCCCGTAAACCTAGTGTTAACCGAACAAATATTGCGCTCCGGCCCACTCATGGTCAGCGATATTGTTCGCATCCCTCACAAATTGCACCACAGTTAACAAATACTTCTATCACAAAATCGATAAACACCTGAACGTTTATATACGACCATGTATTTCTGATTAGATGCATAAAATACATGCCAATATGTATATACAATGCTGTTTTGAAAATCATTTTTTTTTTCAACTTTTTCTTTTTTCTTTTTTACGAAATAGTTGTACATAGACATGTCGAAAATATTTGTAACACATTAACACATTATTGTTCCGTTGTAGCTTAAAGCCTTTGTCTCGTTGAAACATTTAGCAGTATATTATAAATGAAATTATAGTAAAAGAAAACACCGAAGAAATCCAGACAGCGCGATAAAACACGCAAAAAAGTAGGCTGATTAAGTCTATTAAGTAGTTATGATTTGATCGATCAAAGTACAGTCGTTTACTTTTTGTTACAACATACTGACATTTTTTCGGTTTTTATACTTGATATATATAAAATAAACGCGCAACGTAAATTACCTTATCTTAACACGTTAAACGCTCGGTCCCCGCCGATCCTCAAGGACCAAACGAAATTTTTTCCGGGCCTCCCTGCCTTTTATTTTCGTAATAGATATAACAATACAGACATGTTTTAAATAATAAAGACTTTAATAAAAACTTTCATATTTTGACGCCTCCCAGGTTGGAAATCACTGGCCTAAACGGAACGGCAAGGAAAACAGACCGGGCGTTTGACGTGTTAAACAGAGTTAAATGTACCATTAAAATATACAAATATGTTAAACTTGCAACACAATTTATAAACGAATTATTTTTTTCCCGTTTATACTTATATGTATATCACCCATTTAAGGCACATGGTATAAAGTAACAATAGAAAATATTATTAACTTTACAGTTCGAAAAAACGGACGAAAGTTAAAGATATGGAAGTTGCTCACAATTCCCTAATTTTTAACAACCAATATAGCAATTTTATAACATTGCCATGCAAATTTTAATATTAAAATTTTCTGCTTTATCCAAGTATCAAATTAAACACGATTAAGGTATTTAAATTCATTATAAATACTACGTATTGTATCAAATCCATTCTACAAATATATTAGTATAGAAACAAAAATCAAATTATTTTTTATATTTTTTATTATATTTACAAATTGATTATCTCATTTTTTTATGAAATATAAAATAGTATAGTATCAAAATAGGAAATAATAAATTTCTTAATTATAGAATTTTAATAGTTATCTAATTTGAATACCTCAACCATCCCACCGGCCGTATAATATTTCGAATAAAATTTATAACTTTCAAAATCACGAAGTGAATAATTTTTGTGGTAATTTACGTGATAAAACAATTACTGATATTTAGAAAATTTATCTATACATATGTATAGCACTAAAATATGTATATTCTATATTGCAGTAATACTTACGGATCAAACATATACTTATAAATGTATATATCATCAAATATTAAATTAAACTGTAATTATCTAATGTGAATAAAAAAAAATAAACATTTGTACAAAGTTGTAGAGAGAAATGTATGAAATACGTTTAGTTGTTTGACTTGTTTCACGGTATAAATGTATATATTTCAAAAAATGTAAATGCTCTCAAAATTTTAAAACTCTTACTGTATGTGAAAAATGATAATACAAAAGAACAGTCAAAATAGGTTTATGTATACATAAAACTATAGTTTTACGACTAAGAGATCCAATAATTTCAGATAAATGCAAGTGGCAGTAGTGTTAGGCTTATTGTTAAGAAATGTACCTATTTCTCGTTTATAGTCTTGAGCATCAGTCAATATAAAAATTGTATAAAAAGTTACTCATACTTCAACGTATTCGATCCCATAACCGTCAGTTTACGGCATCATAGATACATACTTCTCTTTCATTATTTATAAAATCTTTCATTTTGCTAAAGTAATCATATCTACCATATATCGAGTTTAAAAGTAACTTTCACGTTTTAATAATCACAAGTGAAATATTTATAACACATTACTTATTTCCGATAATATTTGTATCTATTGCACCTTTGCAATATTCTACTATAAAATACAATCTCCAAATTAAAGTAGTTATTAATCACATCCGCATAATGTAAATGTACTAACAGACCCATATATGTCAACTGTAACAAACTTTGTAAAATCTGTAGATATGCATACTTTTGCAAGAAAATTTGAAGGTAATTCAACAACGGCTAATAAAGCTGGTTGTGTATTATCTTTACCTTCTTTGGATTTCCAAAACTGACTTAACTTGTGTACACCATTCATGATACCCTTATCCTGTTGCTGGCACTGCATACTATACATATTTGAATCTGCACTTTGACTAGCAGACATATGTAAGCTGAATGTTGCATTATTATTCGTAGCCGGAGTACTAATGCTACGATTTATTCGAAGTCTTCTTTTTGGTTTTTTTATATACATAGACAGAGCAATATTCCACCAAACTAATTCATCCGAGTTTACAGATAGCAAAATTGGAACACCAATTTCAGAAGGGGCCCAGCATAGCTGAGAAACAGAATTTGTATGAAAACGTAATTTACGTATTTCATCTTGCAACGTTGTATCAATAACCTGAAAATTAATAGAAGACACTGATATTAATAATGTATTTAGAAAATTGATTAATTCACAACGAAAACTTACAGAAATATCTCCGTTTTCGAAACCAATAGCTAAATACTTTTCGTGTTGGGATATTTCACAACATGTTAGTTTCTGAGCATAATTTTTTCTAAAATATTCCGTTACTTTTATACATGTCGGTAATGTTATTGTATCTTCTTGTAGTTTATATAAGACTACTTCTCCATTTTCATTTAACACTGCTAGAAAATTTTTCTGTTGGCTCAAACAACTAAATGTAGCGACTATATCTGAATTACCAATGGTTACTCTGTCCACTCGTAACCAATTTGTACCATTGACGTTCCAAAGTGTTATTATACCATTTCGTGTCACCGTTAACACATATTTTCCATCTACATTATGAATTGAAATAACACATCCTGCATTATCAATTAAATATGACAATTTTGTGCTCTCCCATATCTACGAATAATGAAATATATGTTATTAAAATATTATCAAATTCCTTAAGTCACTAATTTAATGAGATCTTTTCTGAATTTACCCGTAAATTATCATCGGTTCCTCTACAAATGAGTATGCTACCAGTTTCTAGGTCTAAAACTTTGATTAATTCTATATTCGATGAAAAATTTAATACAGGCCTGCCTTCTGCAGTTTTTATATCGAATAAATTAACAATGCCTTTGTCAGTAAGGCAAACTATTTTTTCTCCATTAGGTGAAATAAATAAATTATTTAGTTTCCCGTCGATTCGTTTTGTTTCTGCTATTATTTTATCATCAACTAATATGGCAATAGTGTTTAAAGGCGTTTCTATAACAAGAGTATCTGCTTTACCATGATGCTTCTGAAATGCTGCATCAAATAGAGGTTTTCTTCTCGCTTCACAAGTTCCTTCTACTGGCAATTTCCACTTACGAAGTAACCGATTTTCGCTACCACAAATAATGTGGTACCCTTCTTCTTTTAACCAATACGTATCCAAAGAAGATACACGGCTTTTGTAAGTAGCTATTAATTGGTATGCAGCATTAGTATTCCATATATTTACAAAACCATCGGAATCGGCTAAAACTAAATACTGGCCATCATTGGTTATTGCAGCACAAACGTAAACAGTTTTTCCACTTTCAACATTTGCTCGTATTTGTTTATTGTAACTATGCATATGACTATTGCTTGATCTGCACCATTTTACATGTATAGCTTTATCTTCGGTAACAATAAATAAGGAATCATTTTGTTTTGGTACATTACGGAAAAAAATGACTTTCTTCTTTTGTAAATCTAGATTATACTGTGATAAGTATTTATATTCTTCACCATATTTATCGTATGATATCAGAGCACCATGTATTTCATCCATTACATGAAGCAAGTTACTTCCAGTTGTAAATGCTATACTTTTAAAATAATTGCTACTATAAAAATAAAAAAAAATAAAAATGAAGATCGTAAAAATAGGAGTCGTAGTGCTTAAATAATAGAATTAAGAAAATGTACCTGTGTGGATTATAATCTGATAACATATTTCCATAATGATCCCAAACCTAAAAAAAAAATGTACATATATTATTGCTTTTTTGTTTTTTAATCGAAAGTATATTTACAAGAATTAATCGTGCATACCCTAATTGTACCCTTGTTTGTGCAAGCTGCAATGTAATTGCTATCATGCGTAAATGTCATATCCAATATAATTTCCCCAGCAACATGAAACATTACCGAACTATCATCGTGAGGAACTTTACTCGAAAAAATTCCACTCCAAAAGGTTTGTTTTTGTCTAGGACTCAATGGACCAATATGATTCTGTTCGTTACTTTTATCTTCAGAAAGCCTAAATAGTTTTACTATTCCAAGATCGTCCAATGATAAAAAACAGTCTCCCGTAGTAGATACAACAATCTTTTTTATGCTACATGTTCTATCATGCCCACTGAACACTTCTTGTCTTTTGTAAATGCTATTCCATAAAAATATATCACCGTTTCTACTTCCAATTAGAATTAAATCTGGATCACATGCAAAACAAGAAGTATGTATTTCCGTGGACATTTCTTCACTCAATGGTACATCCATTTGCCGCAACTTTTTGTCGTGAAATACATATAAATATTTCAATCTCTCTCGTGCAAGTTTAATAGCAGTATCTCTTATATATCCTTCATAAGGATGATTCATAGCAATTTGTACTATATCCAAGCATTTTTTATGTCTATGTTCTGCGATAATGCTCGCTTGTTCCTCTAAGAACTTTTCTAAATCGATAAAGCGTGTTTCATACTCTGTATCATAGTTCTTAGTAATGTATCTTCTGTAGTTATCTAAATCAATCAATAAGTTGCTCAAACCACTGTGAATTATTGTTGCTTGAATAAAATCAAAATTAAAATATATCTTTGGAAATTCATCATACAATTGAGCTTGTTCTAAATGATATCCAATGTATGAATAACTATAATTGTCCGCGGGAAGCTTCGAAAAATCATCGTTACAATATCTGCGATACTTATCGATCAATGATTTGTGCATTTGTACAAATTCATCTTGTGAAATTTTTTTCCGAAGATGACAAAGTAATAAGTCATGAACACCATAGATGTAGCTACGTAATTCATCATTCCATTGTTTAGCTGCTAGTGACTTATGACATAAGTCAAGCATCATTTCTTCAACTTGAAATGGAGGTCCTCCCCAAAGAACTTCCAAAGTCTATATAATAAAATATGTATAATATATACATATTACATGTATGATATTATATAGTTTAACGGTCACCCTATCTTACCTGGGGGGTTATATTTACATCTTCTCTAAAAATTACTAATTCTTCATAATGTTTCCTCATTTCAACAGGTAACTGTTCTATACACATATTAAAAATTGCTTCTTGCTTTTCCAAGAACCTTTTAATCACGCTAAAAAACATAAAATATATATTATATTTTAAAATAGCAAAGTACTGTGACCATCCGATTCAATCTCGAAAGGAAAATTTTCGATCTGATCCGATATTTTCAGATTTTTGCACGTCTATATAAAAGATCAATATGCTTATAATATTACCGATTCTTTTCATCTTTATTCCTCAAGGAATTTAAATAATATTTCCATCTATCTGATCTTAGCTTCATGTCATGTTTAAATTCTTCAAATTGAGCAGAAAACATAGCTATTAATAAAGGCATTCCTTTACATTCTTCGTGAATTCGTTTTGCTTCCAAAGGAAGCTTATCTACTTCTGTCTCCAACACTTTAGCAAAAAGACCTAAGGTTTCTGCTTCAGTAAACCCATCATTCATCTGCAAATAGGTATTTTTTTCACCTTTATCAAATATATGAATTTGATGGAGTAAAAAAGGAAAAATGTAAGTAAAAGAATTTTACTTCACCTGAATTACAGAAGGTCTCTTTTCCCATACAACATCAAGATTAGCTGTAATTACCAAAGTTTTACATTCAAAATCAAATGCATCAATTATTTTTTTGTCACAAACATCATCCAAAATTAATAAAGCAAGGGAATGCTTTTCTCTACTGAAATGATGTTTCAAAAAATGAATAAGTGAATCTCTTAAAGGTTCTGGTTTCAATGATCCTGGCAGTATTTCTATATTTTTAACCAGATGATAAAGTCTATTTAATTGAATTAATATTTCCTCGTCAACTGGACGTTCATACCCAAATTTTATCCAATATACTTCATTCTGAAAGGAATACATAAGTTCTTCATACGACAGTTCAATGCTTTTCAAATACAAGTTTTAAGTAAAAACTTACATAAAATAAATTTCTTACAAATTTAGTATCTTTTAGTGTACTAGCTGTTAGGCACGATTTACCAAAACCTTTCATTCCATGAAGTACAACATATCCATTTGGTTCTAGTTGTTCCAAATGATACTTCAACTGCATCATCTGTAATAATTGTACATTAATCTCATTCATGTAAGAATTATTTAGAATTACCAACATTAGAATGTACAAAATATTTAACAACTCTTGTCAAACTTACATGATTGATTTCCATAAGCATGCACATAAAATAATAAATATTATATTTAACAATAAAAATAAATAGTACAGTATATTCAGTAATAAAAAATTTAAAATATATTTATACACTTCCTCATAAATTTAAAACAAAATTTACATTATTTAAATACAAATATGTTTAAGCTACGCAACTTTATTTTTTATTCATAGTGGAGTACTAATAGAATTGCAATACTTTATAAGCCTCAAGTATTTTAATGATCTGTACATTTTATACCTTTTGTTCTCTAATAACACTTAATGGTGAAATCGGTGGAAGGGTAGGTGTACCCACATGTTTTATATCATTAAATGCTTTCCCACTTTCCTCTAGTTTATCCATGTCATCGCTTAACCAGTCATAGTGATGTTGCAAAGCTTGACGAAAAATATCAAAGGCATAAGGGCCTCGACTAAAAAATGTAAAATAATAAGAATTCTGTACATATTTAAAAGAAGCAGTTACAATGGTATGAATAGAATTCATACTTTGGAAGTATATCCAATAAAATTTCAGCTTTCTGTTGTTTAGAAATAGCAACATCAATGTCTGCTATATCTTGAGCCTTTAATATATACTCTGATTTTAGTGGCTGTATAATACCATTATATACATCTATATCAGCTACTATGCTGTTCCTCAAGCGTTTAAGAATACTTTGATGTAATTTATCCATTCTTGTAAAGTTTATGCATACTTTGTCATATTATCTGTTTTATAGTTATTAACAAAGCCAGCTACAAAAGAAATGGAATACAAATGCTTAATATTACGATATACAGGTTTCAGATAATGAGAACATATATGGAAAACAGTTTCTAATTTCTGAATATAGCACTTTAAGGTTTTAATGTCAACCTTGACAAACATTCTATAAAATTTGAATTATTTCTATGGTTTTCATTGCGTTAAATAAAATATACGAAAAATAACAAATTATGAAATGTATTAAACATCAAGCTAAATTAAACGTAAAACCATATTGTTAATAATAATATTATCTTAAAACAGTTTTAATAAAAAAAACATGTAGTAACGTTAATAAAAAGGCACATTTTCGTTTATTTTATTTACAAAATCGGATTATGACAGCTTCAATTTTTCTATATGCGTCGTAATGTCATATCACTGATTTAATATGAAGTTCCTATTATCCCTCAGTTGAAGTTTAAAATATAGATGAGTACTGGGGTCAATGACTCTGAAACCAACTCCAAACTCGTATCTCGTGGCCCTATAAAGGTGTTAATAATAAGGTACTGTGAAAGTCTCTTACCGTATTAAAAGAATTCGCTTAAAACACGTAATATTTTTGCGTGTTACGCGGCCTTTGTTTGCAAAACTAATCGTTCCGTATCACCGTAACACAAACACCATATCACCGAGAAGCACCGAGAAGCAAACTGCATCAGTGCCAGTGCCACATCGGCTGCATGCCCCTTAAACAGCACCGTTGACATTGTTGCCAGATCCACCTATAAAACGTGTTTTTGATTGGTTATCACCATCATATGATACTTTTGCGGCACTTTTATCTTTCAAACAATTCAACTTTTAGCTCCAAAAAAATGGAAAACTGTTGAAAAAATGATAAGTGGCATTGTTAAACACTTGTTAAAAATATACTTAGAACGAAACGATGTATCGAATAGAAAGCAAAGAAACACATTCATCAGTTTTTGTGCATGTTGAATCAAAACTAATATATATAAAAGGATCTATTTTAATTTTTAATACATATAAACATATTAACAATAAGAAACATCATTATGAAAAAAATAGCAAATAAATCCCTCATTGGCTCCGATATGGTCTAGTGGCTAGGATACCTGGCTCTCACCCAGGAGGCTCGGGTTCGATTCCCGGTATCGGAAATTTACTTTTTGCATTAATAAACATACAATAGTTGATAATGTTTATAAACATTTTAGGATGTGACGTGGGTGCGTAAAGATTTAGACACTTGCTAACAAATAACATTTATTACTAAAGCGCTGATGGTGTAATGCGTCGTAGCGCCCGTGGCGACTGTCCGGTACCTTTTACCGTTTTTCCATCGGAGTCGAATGGTCGTCTCAAGGAAAATCGGAACGGGGGAAAATAACCCTCGGCCCTCAAGGACTAGCCTGCCTCATTACCCCTAGCAGGTAGCTACTCCTCTGACTGAACCGAGGTTCTGGCAGCCCTCGAGTTCGGTCGCACACGATATACAGTCCTTGAAAACACGAAGCCCCGGAAAATCTTTTCCCAAAACGACACGACAGTATGCCACAACATCTTGGAGTATTGTACTCCTTTCATTATAATGCTTTCAGTATTTAAAAAGAAAAATGAAAGATATTATTTTAATCTTTTGTGAAATTACAAGTTACTCCACATAGGAGAAGAAGTAAAAAATAACCCCTGCGGTGGCCGGGAATCGAACCCGGATCAACTGCTTGGAAGGCAACTATGCTGACCATTACACCACCACCGCAGTTGAGATTTCAATTTCCTAAATTAAAACGCTAATTGTACATATGTTATCTAAAGTAAAAGTATGATTTCTCCATACAAAAATAATCCACTGCGATGGCCGGGAATCGAACCCGGATCAACTGCTTGGAAGGCAACTATGCTAACCATTACACCACCATCGCAGTTGAGAACTGTTTTTCTTATAAGCGAATGTGAGGTCTGTATTTTACAAATAAATACCTGCGAATCGCTTGTTTTTCGATTTATACATGTGTTGTATATGCGTATGTGTGCACACGTACCGCGACTGCCGAATTGTCGCGGAAATGCGCGTTAAGCCTCGTACTGAATTGTGCATTTTGCCCAAACGAATGCTCTTGGCGAACCGTTAGTCAAGTACCGTTAGTCGACCGCTGTCGAATTTACCCTTCGGAAAAACTCAGTTTATGATATGGCCTGATGAACCGTCATAAACTGATTTTCGAAATCCGAAACAATTTTTGATATTAATTGTTTGGATACTTTAAACAGATACTGAAGGCTCGTATATGAATCTCCCGTTGCTAAAAAACGTAGCGTTATAGCTAAGCGTTCTTTCACCGTCATTTCAGCTTTTCTGAATTTGGTGTCGTTTTTTTGAATTTTGGGACCGATAGCGTTTATTAAAAATTCAAAATCTTCTGATGACATCCGCACAAAATTTTTAAAATGTCCACTAGCTTCTATCTGTAAATCTCTAACTAGTTTTTCACTGGTTTACGGTAGAAAGAACTTTTTTACATAGAACCCAGATACAAAGGTTTACGGTACCCCAGGTAGAAAGATTTGCGCGAACAGCCGAAGAAAGTAACCGGCACAGTAAAATTGTTCGCACGAATATCCTTTGATGGACCGACAGCCGTCGGAAAGCGTTCGTTTGTGCCCAGGGCCTTTGCGAACTCATAACGGATCGTTTTCGGCGCACGAATGCTCTAGTGAATACGAGGATACAGGGGTCAAAAAGCGTTCCTTCGTGCTATGGGCCTTCGCGAACACATTAACGGGCCGTACTCACTTCAGCATTTTTGCCCGAACGAACGTTTTCGGCGCGCAAATGCTTAGGTCAGTACGAGGCTTAAGAGGAACTGGTAAAACAGGCACGATTATCATACCGACTGTGCTCTCTGCACGTAGATCTACCCTCACCTTGAGGTGTCTGAAGGCATCTCTAGTCCATAGATTCGTTGTGTTCTATAAAATGTTCTGCTTGCCCTGGGGCAACGTGAAAATCTCTAATATTGCGAAAAAAGGTAATTTTCTTTAGCGTCATTTTCCCCGCTCACCGCCAGATGGTGACGGCAGTGCCGTTTTTTAAAGCGCGCATTGATAGAAAATTAAACAGCATATAAAAATAAGACTTGAACAATGCTTTACACCATCGTGAATCAGTGATAAGGATTATCGTCATCCGCCTAATACGGGGGATCAAGGTCTGTTATTTATAGCTTAAAACAATAAACGTCTATCAGTCTCTCTGATTTTTGATTCCTATCACTAATAACGATATGATGTGATAACAATTTTAATCGATAATACGACGCGAAAATGCATTATATAAATGATGTATATTATCTCGTCTGTTGCAGCAATAACGGCGATTAAATGCCAGCACTTAATGAGCACACGACGGAGCATTGTTCCCCGTTCGCCAATTAAACAGCATTATCCTTTCAAACCGATGCATTTTATTCTTAAAGTTTGAAACAAAACGTGCTTGATCCCTAAAAATGAAAAAAGTTTGAATCCTGCCGATAGCGAGTGAACAAAATCGCTTTAGACGTATGTGCGGCAGCTATTGGTCCACTGTGTAAAACTCTTTTTCCTCGAAAATGATGAAAACAAAACTTTCATTACGCATAAGTTCAAAGTGTTCTTTGTTGTTAATTCTCATATCTCATTTCGATAGGTATTCGAAACAGCAGACAGAGAAATTCAATGGACACCGAAAGATTAAATCATTCTTGAATAATTTCGGCTGCTGTGGTGACCGGTGTCGTTATTGTTCGCGATACGAGATTGCGTAAATGAATTATTCGATTAGCATAGCCGACTGTTGGACGGTGACACGTATAGGTTGCGCTGTATGGTCTCGTTGCATGCTAGACAAGCTGGAAATTCGATTACGTTAGAAACAGCATTTGGCGCGCTCAGCCGGCATTAGCCGTGCATTGGTTACTTCTGCATTGGCCCGATTAATTTGTCGCAGATTCACCGTTGCGAGTAAATAAATATGCCGTCAGAAGATGTACATCGAACCGCTACCATTTTACCATCCGAAACGCAACTACTAAACCGCGAACAGATCGATAGGAGCGTTCAGTCATTAAGGTGGCACGTTCCTAATTAAAGAGAGAAACACGTGGGTACGGTGCGTCCAGGCAATTACAGTAACAATCTAAACACACGAAGGGCACGATACGAGAGAGGGTGAAAGTGGCAGGAAAATATTTCTCATCACCTGTAGCGAACTAATGACAGAGGTGGGTCCGATGCAGAAACCAAGGGGTCGCGGTCGAGCCGGTAATTTTATCTCACGATCGTCACGATAAAATTAGGATATTAAGATACCGCGAATACCGTCGGCTCATTCTTTAATTACGGAAAGATCTCACTGCGATTTAAGCGGAGACCGCGATACATTTATCAAGAAATTTGCATATCGCGTGTACGAGACCGTGTATACCGGTACGATAAGCCGGTCACCTAACTACAGGAGCAAAACGCGCGGCGTTCATATTGTTCGGTTCGGAGAAAGAATTACGAAGCCGGATTATTTACTCTCCTCCAGGCTCATTCTAACTACTGACGATCAAACAACCAAGTTTCCAGCCGAGCCAGCCGGTACACAGAGATTCGCGTTCTTCCTTTTTTCGTTCGCGAATTTATATCCAGCCCCGACAACGCGAGATTACTCGGAAGTTATACGGCGTATCTAACATTCGTTCCTTCCTTTTCGGATCGGCCGCGATAGCTTCTTCGCGTACCAGTTTCGCAAAAGTTCCGCGGAACTTGCGAAACGCCGGAGTTCGTTGAACTGCTTCTGTCGTTATTTATTTACGTTTTGTTTGTCCGCCGTCGAGAAGGAATTCGCGTTCGCATAGCAAACGGAAAGGGAGATAAAAAGAGAGATAGAGATAGAAAGTAAAGTGGAATAAATATCGTTGAATTTAATAGGATATTCGGGTGGCTAGAGGTGGTCGGCTATTATCTGATCCTCTGCACCATACCATTCTGATCCCCGTATCCTCTTCAAAGAGCAGACCGATCGTGAGAGGGTAAATTCGAACCTCTTAGGGGTTGATCGATCGCCACTAGTCTAAGCACTTCAAATAGTGTGATCGTGGTATGCGAGCAGGAATGGCAATAACGTTGATAGGATGGTAATATGATTATCACCTGCGCAAGAGGACACACGCGACGGTGTTACACGTATAATTAGAGATGGGATTGAAGAGGCGGATAAGGGTAGGGGAAGGCGCAAGTATAATGCCATGCAAATACACCTCATCGCTTGGTCCACCAGGAATAGAGTGCATTAATCTGCTAATGCACATGGGTCCCGTAAAATTAGATTCGGCCAGATTTAGTTGGAAATGCGATATTTCAGTGTCGACTGAATTCCAAACGATTCTCTCCTCTCTCTCTCTCTCTCTCCCTTTCTCTCTGTGTGCGTTCGTCGTTGAAGCTCGTTTCTACGAGGCACGAGTGAACCGTGAAACGTTGTTATTCGCGAGGCAGATTAATGTCGATACCCGCGTACACGCTCGCAAACCGTACTCGATCGATGCGATACTCGTCCTTAATACAGCATTAATTCAAAAATTTACGATCATCCGTACGCGTCGATCGCGAGCTTCGCATTTACACGGGGATCGTGTAAATTGTCCTAACGCGTACGGACATTCTACGCTCGGATTAGTATCGTCGTCGCGATGCCAATT